TGTTTCTTCTTCTCAGTTCAAATCTAAACATTTAAACCTGAATTATCATTCCCATCATTTAATTGAAAAGGCCACAGAAAAATATTATTTACCCATGTATCACCATTCTATTCAAGAGAGAGAAACATGAAGAGACAGGAGATTTTGTATTAGTATTTGACAAGATCAATGGAAATAACTTGGATTACTTTCAAATCCCCATGAATAAATTTATTTGTAAACGTGTTGTCTTCCGCAGCTTGTCGGGTTGAACAATTGAGTGGAGTGTTCCAGCTGCATGGGAGTTTTGCTCGCATCGTTAATAACATCGTTAGCGCTACCTTGCAGGGCGTTAGGTTGCGCTCCTGCCGTCACTTCGTGGCTCCCTTGGGCCGTTGACAAGTGTTTTGACGGGGTATCGAGCGTTACGTCGAGTCGTAGCGAGGCCGGGCCGGTCGCCAACGCGTGTGGCTCAGCTGCGCCGCGGACGCACGTGACGCCGCCGCCACCGCCACCGCCACCGCCGCCGCCGCCGCCGCCCGCCGCCGCCCGCCGCCGCCCCCCCGCCGCCGCCGCCGCCCGCCGCCCGCGCGCCCGCCGCCGCTGCCGCCGCCGCCCGCCGCCGCCGCCGCCGCCGACGCCCTGCCGCCGGCCGCCGCCGCCGCCGCCGCCGCCGCCGCCGCTGCCGCCCTGCCGCCGCCGCCGCGCGCCGCTGCCGCTCGCGCCGCCGCCGCCGCCGCCGCCGCCGCCGCCGCCGCCGGCCGCCGGCCGCCGCTGCCGCTTGCTGCCGCGTGCCTGCCGCCGCCGCTGCTGCCGCTCCTGGCCGCGGGCTGCCGCCGCCGCCGCCGCCGCCGCTGCCGCCGCCCCGCCGCCGCCGCTGCCGCCGCGCCGCCGCCGCCGGCGCCCGCCCGCACCGCCACCACCGCCACCGCCACCGCCACCGCCCGCCACCGCCGCCACCGCCGCCAGCCACCAGCCGCCGCCACCGCCACCACCGCCGCCGCCGCCACCACCGCCGCCGCCACCACGCCGCCGCCACCACCCACCACCACCCCACCACCACCACCACCACCACACCACCACCACCACCCACCCGCGATCGACGCCACGGCGCCTTCCACCATGGGGCGGGGCGGGGCGAGGCCAGCGCGGCCACATCGATCCAGCCCCCGCCCCCCCGCTCCTGCCCCCGCCTCTGCCCCCGCCTCTGCCCCCGCGCCGCCCCACTGCCGCCTGCAGGATTTATGGGAGGTGTGGTCAGACGACTCGCAGCGACGCCGATCGCCGCTGGGGGCGCCGCTGCACGGGGCGAGAACCCGGGCCCCCTTCCTACACCGCTGTTCTGCTGCAGAGCAACCGCGGAAGGGGTCGGATGTCTTTGTGGGGGATGGCAGAGGCAGGGTAGGAAGGTGGGAGGAAGGAGGAAAGATAATCGGCAGATGAAGCGGATGGGAAGTTGATAGGAGGAGGAACTGCAAATGGAAGGGTTGCTTATCTTCTTAACGTACAGAGGCGGCTCGCTTTAAAGTGCTTACGGCAGTGCACTTCTCATCTTTCGTTCCTCCTTTAAAGAATTTTTATCACATATTCTGTAAATCGAGCTTTCATTAATATTGTTCGGTCCTCGCTGGGAGGGAACCACCAGTGGCGGAGGCCAAGGTCTTGTTGGAGACCGGAAACGTCCACCCGGACCCTCAGTTTCTCTGCGCCACTTGGCGCAGCGAGTAGACAGTGCTATCGGGAAGCTCTTGGTCGCTCGGGCTTGCCCGTGTGACCCACCGTTGGGAAGCTATCCGTCGACTGTGGGACAGGCTTGGGGATGTGGGCTCGGCTACAAACCCACCTATATACCTTCAACGGGACAATTGAAATCACTCCGACTGCCTCTATTTCCGGCGGCACTTGTATCGTTTATAGCTGGGCACAGTGAGAAGACGGGTTGAAGTTTCCCGATTCTTGGCTCGATTAGCCCCCAGTTCTTGGCTTCGCCGGGCAGTGTCCAATACTCGCGGATAATTGAGCAGGGTTTTGTTTCCTTGGCGTATTTTGAGTGCGGCAGAAATCTACTCCGGTGTCAATCTACGAAACTGCCCGAGCCCGAGCTGACAGAACCCAGGCTTAATTGAGGAGGCGTTCCTCTGGAGAGCAGCGTGCCTGCGTTTCTGGCTGGTAGCCTGATGAAGCACTAATGCTTCGAGAAAGTGGTAGAGCCGAAATGGCCAAGGTGCCTACTCTGAGGCGAGTCGAAGGCCTCCTGGTATGAAATTTAAGCATACTGGAGACCCTCTATCCCCTTGACTAAGATACACGATATTTGATTTCCTTTTGTGGTGAAACGTGTGGCTACCTGAAAGCAGATACTGTAAATGCTTACCAGTCAGTCGCTGACGGACAATATGAAGATCTTCCTCAGTGGTACAATGAAGTGCATGGGTTTACAGATAATCTCACACATGTGCAAGGACTGGAAATTCGCCCAAGTTCTGTCATCTGTGCGCTTGCATTAATTGCCAGCTGTAGCCCCGGACTCTGGTTAAGTTTGAAATCTCCCCTCGTCCGGCGAAACTCACGTGCCAGGGACACGAAAACCTGGTTTTAAGGGCGTACGAAGCGTCATTTTCGAGTTATGCATGATTACAATGTTGTAATAATCTGCATAGTGTGTCTTCCTCTAATTTATATTCAAGCATTCAAATCAAGGATTGGGTACGTGATACTATATATTTTTTTTGTATGACATCCGTATTCTCAAATATTTAAAGTCAGTTAAACCTCTAGTATTTTTTTTTTAAACAAAATTGTTTTCATTGGTTTCATTACAATTAAATAACATAATGTTTCGTAACAGAACGTGGCCGCATCATCGGTTTGTCTGAGATAAAGGAAAAACATGCATATTAAGACGTGACTAACTGGAAAACATAGTCGAGAAAAACCAATCATTTGATTCATTAGGATTTCTCATTTCGACGGTGGTGGTCGATCTTAGAGAAGGCTCGTTTTGAGTCCTTTCCGTTGTTTTTCATGACTGTTTTGCAGTTTGTCCCTTAATGTGCATGCTTTTTCCTTTCTTTGGCTCAGACTACCTGATGTTGCAGGAACATTCTTTCGCGAGACTTTGTGTTTTTTTTAGAGCAATGAAACCAATGAAAATATTGTGTAAAAAATACTCGAGGTTTGTCCTTAAATATTCGAGGATATCACTGTCATACAATAAAGTAAACCATGTTCATCAGAATAGGTACTGCGTAGCTAACCGAAGGAGCTGTAACTGATTTCAACAGAAAGGTGCTTGATGCCTTGCGTTGCAAAGAAAGCATTTTGTGTTTCGTTTTCCGTCAATAAGGAAATAAGCAAACTAATTAAGCTTTTTTTTCAAACCGTGTGGAATTGTAATTGCTGCAAAACCTCATTTCTAGTCACGTGCCGCTTCTATTATCGTTTACTATGATTACTTATTTTGAATGGTGACGAATTCAATTTTTAATTTGAAGAATGCTGACAATATATATATCCTCTTGAACAGAAGATCTATGATGAAAATTCTAGCACAAGAGAAGAAAAACAATTATGTTGAGTTGTGCATCGCATTAACTGACATTAGAATCACATCATTTTTTTGGCATATGAGAAAACTCTCCTTCCTCTCCGTCAAAAAATCAATTAGACAACTTCGTTCTGTATTAAGTGGGTGTGTTTGGGATCACAATCAAGACTTTCCATTTCCAATTGTTGTTTGCCGTGTTAATACTTAAGCACGTCAGTGGTTAATGTTATCATATTAACAGGATTTTTTTTGTGTGAAGTGTCAAAATTGTGAATGATTCATCGCAAATTCTGAAGATGAATTGCCGAATGTGGAGACGTTGATACTAACGGTTATCTATCAGATTGCATCATAAACCTCTGTTGTCACTCTATTGTAGATTTTTTTTGTTATCTTGATAAAACGGTGAGACTTCGAATATCTATGGCGAGTAAATACCTCCATCCGGGAGTAGTTTTTGCATTCTGTGACATTAAATGATACAATAAAACATGTGGTCAGCGTAGCATCTTAAGAACAAAAACATTTTGCGAAGTTTTCGTTTCATATGAATGTACTCCGAACTGTGGCGGCAGTGTGGGCTAAAGTATTTTAATTCCACACGATCCAAATTCGAATTTATTCGACTATAGCAGACAACCACCCACTGATCCGTGTATACATATAGAATATACATGTATAGTTGTTACATAATTATATTATTAATTAAATAAAATTAATATTATGATAATTATACAATGAATGCTGCTCCAACCTTCTAAGAATAGGTGTTTTTTTTTGTTTTTTTTTCGATTTCTCACCCTTACTTTCCTTCTAGGCGTTCTCGCCCTCCAACCCCTCCATCCCCTTCTACCCATTCATCCCCTACTACCTATCCTTCACCTTCCACACCTCCTTCATCTCTTTTCCCTTCTTTTTTGCTTTACTTCTTTCTTTCCTAATTGCCCTCTTTCTCTTCCTGCCTGTCATTTTTCACCCCCTCCTGCATCTTTTAAACCTCCATTCCTTGAATGTTCTTCTCCCACTACTATCGTAAATTCGTCTTCATTGTGTGAAAACCTGAAATTCGTTATATACCTAATGTGAATTTCAATATTTTTATCAATGAAGCAGCTAGAAATATTTTTATTTTGTCATGTCAATTATGTATTTGAGAGGTCAATCAGTCATCCCAAAAGATAAATTTTACAGGAAGGCTTAAAAAGCACTTTGTCTCTAATTTTACATACCACCAACATTTCTTACATATTTTATAAACGGATTTTCATGAGCCCTATGGTTACTGTACTTTTATCATCGAAACTGTTTTGTCATTTGCAATAAAAAAAACAACTTTTAATTGAAGAAAATGTTACTTATGGTAGTTGATCTATGAAGTACATAGTTGTTCAAAAACATATTTGTGTTGACTATTATTTGGTAAGACATATTTTTAGAAACTTATTCCTTATTTTTTGTGTTTTTGTTGTTTCAGGGTGATGGTTACATTAAAAGAGCTGACACAGACAAACTCAGAGAAATATTTCGAAAAGTAAGTAAATATGCATGTGAAAATCTAATTCTTAAATTATCTATGAAAATAATACAAAAAATACAATAATGATGGTAATTGCAGTATGCCTCAAAAGAAGAGAAGGGTGAGAAGTATATGACTGCATTAGACTTCCTTCAGCGGTATTTAGGACTCTTCTCAGAAGATTGCAACACCGACTCAGTTAATTTATTAGCAGGAATTGTTGATACTACCAAAGATGGGTACGTTCTAGTTCATTATTAAAATTTTAAACATTTTATTCGCTATTTTTGTATCCAGCTGAATTAAATTTGTCTCTCTTTCAGACTTATTTCCTTTGAAGAGTTTGTGGCATTTGAAGGTTTATTGTGCATGCCAGATGCATTATACAAAACAGCTTTTCAGTTGTTTGATACCAATGGAAATGGAATGGTTACTTTTGGTAAGCTCGGTTCATATCATTTCGTTTTCCTACTATAATATTAAATAATTAACTTCCGCATTCTTTTCTTGCAGATGAGTTCGTTGAGGTGATGAAAAAAACAGTTTTACACCAAAAAATTCCATTTAATTTTGATGGAGGTTTTGTACAGTTATATTTTGGAAAAGATAAGAAACGACTTATTAGTTACTCAGAGTTCAGTCAATTTCTTCATGTAAGTATGGATGATCTAGAAATGCAAAGTACGTTCTTGCGTGTAGATAAATTTATAAAATGTGGTTTATTTAGGATTTTCATGAAGAGTATGCAATTGAAGCATTTAGAAGATACGACAAAAATGGCACAGGATTTATTTCAGCCGTGGACTTCCAAGACATCATGGTCAGCATCAAGAGCCATCTCTTGACCAAAGAAGTCAAGGCAAATCTAGTTGCGGTAAGATGATGTCATTGAAGATTTTTTGCTGATTTATAAATTTGTATCATTATTAAACTGTGGAGTAATTAGAGTGAGTCTCAGAATAAATATTGGAAACTTGTAGGGCATACCAGGAGTCAAAATGACCCTACTTTTTGCTTATGTAGTAAAGAGAAAGTACTTATTGTACTGCTACAACGGAAGCGGCGATATTTCGCCCGACAAATTCGTATTCTAGGGCTTTGACGTTGAAACAGTGGGTGAATCTCGTTTCTACAGGAACACGTTTTAGGAGGCAAACTCCTCTCGCGACAATGGGATTTTCTGCAACGCAGACATAGTGACTTTGAATCATTAAATACCTATTATTTTAGTATGGGATTACTCCGCAGAATCTAGTGGCATTTGTGCGAGATTTCAGTAAGATCTTTACGTGTCAGAATTTGATATGTAATTTGCGAAACACTTGCAGCTGAGTGAAACCATTTTGTGTATCATACACATTATTTATTGTTAAACATAGAAATGAAAACCATTAGCATGAATAGCAGATGATTTTTTAGATTTAAACATTTTTAATTATTTAAATAAATGTTATCACTCACAGAAATATTACTTTTATATAAATAAGTATTCAGATTAAAAGCCCTGTGGTACTTTCAATACATTCTCGTTATGACGAAGATAATGTTAATTATAATATAAGGTAATTTGTTGTTGTGTTTTCTTGGTTTGGCGAAAAATACTCTTATATTTACGTACTCAAATCAGAAGCAATAGCTTTCAAGAAAAAACGCTGTTTAAGAACTATCGTAAAAAAACATCATACCGCAAACAGTTTTAAAAAATCTTATGCATTTCCAATAATCTTGTTTATTTAATACTTTTGCGCCAGTAATAAGTATATTGATCAAAATTAACTAAGTAGAGATTGATTGTAATCATTCCTGAATTTATCTGTCTTGATTAGAGAAATAATTGTATTTTCGATGTTTGTGGCTTTTCTTATTCTCATAAATCAGTTTTATTTGTGATAATCTTAAAAATATAGGAACATGAGTATGTAAATAAATATTTTTATTAATATGTAATGAGTAATTATTGTTTGTATTAACTATGTGGTAGTATCTGTTGTTGGGTAAAATAATCAGAATGTACCAGTCCTTTTGGACAAGAATCATTTAAAATTTCCATAAATTTGAAAATCGCTGGTCGGTCTTGAAAACTAACCGTTCAAGAAGGTGGCAGTCCTAACAAATTGCTGCACTGTTCCGAGTGTACACTGAAGATTGATGTTTTTCTTCCGGAATCTGTTCTTCTAATACAGATTGTTAAATGAGGTCATAAACAATTTTTCGAAAATGCGAGTTTTCGCGTAATTTTGAATGAAATTCAGGCAATTAGAAAACATTTTGTCAAAAACAACTCCATTATTTCCTTTAACTTTTCTGTAATAGAGCAAATTACGTTTATAAAAGAATGATATAAGCCCCATTTTTCGGTGAGCTGTGTTGCTGAAAAAAAATTAAGTAATTGATAGATTTTTTTCCTTAAAGGGGGCCGAAACACAAAATTGACTCTTCCTGTTTACAAGTTCATAGAACAACCAAACGAAGACAATTAGGCCGGTAGGACCGGGCTCCCTGCATTTAGTAGTTGGGAGATTGAGATTCCAGCTCGCAGTTGTGACACGTGAAGTCGCAAAGAGCTGCGCCGATTGGGGTTTCGGAGCGCATCAGTTGTCAACTGTCATTAGTGCAGCAAGTGTAATGCAAGTTTCTAATCGCGAGTGGTGGCGGTGATCTTCCCCTGCTGGATGGCAAAATCCGGCGCCGACCTACTCGTCGCTGCTGGCGGGGTTTTCCTTTTCGAGGTATCGTCCGCCAGCGGGGCAGACCGCCCCAGACGGAACAAGTTCTATGCTCTAGACTGGTCTCCCAACATAGGTGGTAGTGTAGGAGTGGGTGTAAGTAAGTAAGGGGTGAGGATAGGACTAGGAAGAGGAAGGAATGATCTCGCCTATTTGTTAGGATATTGCTCCGGCATTCGTGCAGTTCTGTGACTGAATAAGTCTTCACAGTACTGTACAGAAACAAGATGGCGCCGAGTTAAGCTCCACGTGTTTTATCCATGATACGAGGGCTCTCCAGAAAGGAGATTACGTTTTTGTCTGTCCCCGCAAGAAGACGGGCTACGGCAACCATTTTCGTGTCTGGGCGTTACGCCGCTCAGTCGGCATTGGTCAGCATCTAGCCGTGCTAGTGAGAGGTTCGTGTTGTGTCCCGTCGAGTTACAGTGACAAATTGAAGTGTCTGCCTTAATTGAAAATGCCGGGAACTGTAAAGTACGTGCAGTAATAAGGTTTTTGTCTGTAAAATCTATAAACTCATTGAAATCTATTTGAAGCTTAGTGTATTGAATGGGGACAACATTATTACTGAAGGCGGAGTGCGTCAATGATGCATTCGATTTAAAAATGGCCGAACAAATGTTCACGATGAAGTGCGAAGTGGAAGACCCAGCAGAGTGAGTGGCTCACTTGTTGAAAAAGCCGATGGACAAGTCCGAGAAAACCGAAGATTCACAATAACGGAACTCTCGCTTAGTTTTCCACGAATTTCTCGACGTTTGTGGCACGAAATCATCACTGTTAAGCTCGGTTACCTCAAGTTTTGTTCAAGATTGGTTCCAAAAATCTTGACAGAAACCCACAAAAATCAGAGTATGGCTGCAGCGTTAACATTCTTGGACTCTTACGACAAAGATGGTGACTCGCTACTCGATCGCATCGTAACTGGTGATAAAACATAGGTTAAACATGTAAATTGTGAGACAAAATTGCAGTCAAAGGAGTGAGGGCACACACATTCCCCCCAAAACCAAAATAAAATAAGCTTGCAAATGATGTCGGCAAGGAAGGTTATGGCGACCGTGTTTTGGGATAGGAAAGAGGTTTCTTGTGAACTTCGTGTAACGAGGCACGATGATAAACTCAGAAAGGTATTTCCAAAATTTGCAAAACCTTAAATGAGCAATTCAAACCAAGCGTGGGGCTGAAAACAGCCAAGTTGAGCACGAAGATTTTGCTGTATCATGACAACGCCCGACTGCACACGACAAACCGCACGCGTGAAATTCAGGAATTTTTGAAGTGGGGGTTTTCTTTATCCGCAGTATAGTCAGGATCTTGCACCAAGCGACTACCACTTACTTCCAACTATGAAAAAGTGGCTGGCAACGCAGCATTATGACGACGATGCACAAATGCAGGAAGAAGAGGCAAACTTTTTGAAGACGCAAGCGGAAGAATTTTATGAGGAAGGAATTGCCAAGCTCCTTCATCGCTATAAGTAGTGCCTAAATTTGAATGGCGACTATGGATATGAAAATTGTTCCTGAAACATGCGTATGGCTAATTTTTAATCTTAAATTGTATTTTAAAATAAATGTTGCGGTCGATACTTTGTGATCCTTAATCATTAGGGAGTTTGTGTCACCACGAATGTAAAGCACTGCGATCTTCTGCGCATGCGCAGATGCACTAGTGGTGCGAAACTTAAACTGCGCATGCGTAGAAGATCGATAGTGCTTTACGGTCGAGGTGGCACAAACTCGCTATTATGAATACGAGACCGCGCGGCGAGGAAATCAGTGACGCAAATGTAATGAGAAACAGATTCGAAGGAAACGGTGCTCGGTGCAAATGCAATTGCAGAAAAAAGTCAGTGGATTTAGAAAACGTATGCTGCACTGAAGTAAGAATTTTAAATACCATACGAAGCAGGTTATCTTTGTGTTTGTACTTGATTTTCGAAACTAGTTTGGGATGCAGATGTTCTAAACTTCATGCGACATCAACTAATTTAAAAAAAAAAATGTCGAAATACGATATGTAGATTTTTGGTGCAAGAACCTTCGTACACAATCGCATACAATTTACCCCTTGGATTGATTCTTGGGTGTCATTAGAAACTAGCTGTGTATTTGTAATATCCGCATGTCAGCAAGATCTTCAGCATTTTTCTGAAGTCGGTAAAATGTTCGTGGGTTTCTATCCATCGACTAAATTGTCCAATTATTTAAAAAGTTAATGTAGTTCCGTAATAGAGTATATTCAGCCATTTCAATGTGTCCATCGCCTGTGTTTGACGTAAACTTGCAATAACCCCTCACAGACTGCAGGTAGACGGCATATAAAGCTTATCGAATGGATGCGGAACATTCTGCAGCAGTTGTCGCTGTGCAAAAACGTAGCGATTTATGGGGCGTCCAAAACGGCATGATGATTGGCTTTCGGTCCAAGGGTGGAAACGTTCCCGAAACAGCTATGTTGCGCACCACGAGCCATAGACGACAGGGGAGAACTCCGACTGCGGAGATACCTACAGGCGGATAGACGCCAAGATGAACCAAGGGGGTTTTTAACAGTGTCCCCTCAACAAGCGTTCAGCGAACGGTGCTGCGTATGGGCCTCCGCAGCAGGTGCCTGATCCACGCGCCCACTCGGACTGGTGTTCATCGGCGACGAAGGCTGGAATTTGCTCGCCATTACGGCAATTGGACGCTCACCGGATGGAGTTTCTGCTCCATCGGACAGACGGATTGTCGTTGACGTCTACGATGTGAAACGTCCGATCGCAAACACCCTTCAACAATCGCCGGACGGGTTGAGGCCGGAGGAGGGAACGTGAAGGTGTTGGAAATTTTTTCATGACATTCTCTGAGTGATCTCGTCATTTTGGAAGGCACAATGGATCAACCGAAGTTAGCAACCATTCTCGAGACTCATGTCCACCCCCATATGTAGATTTTTTGTCAGCAATGCTCACATCTACCAGCAGGACAATGCAACGTGTCACACGGCTCGCGGTGTACATGTGTGGTTCGAAGAGCACCAGGAACGGTGTTCAGTACTCCCCTGGGTACCATACTCCCCAGATTTAAATCCAATCGATATTCTGTGGGTCTATCTCTATCGGGCTGTTCGCGCCATGGATCCGCAGCCGATGAATCTAGCGCAGCTGGCCACGGCTCTCGAGTCGGTAAGGCTCCATATCTCTGTCAGTTCCATCCAGAACATATTTGACCCTCTTCCTGCACGTCTCGCAGCGTTCAGCACTGCAAAAGGAGGTTCTTCACGATTTTGACAGGTAGTGTGGCCATAAATGCAGGATAATCGAAATGGTCATCTCCACACAACCAGACGTACTAATTCATTGAGCGAAGTTTGCTGATAATTACCAGTCAACTTAGTTTAAACAGTTACGTCTAATGATTATGATCATTAGATTGTTTTAATAATAACCAAAGTATATAATTTAAAAAAAAAACTACTTTGATGGCTGCCGAAGTTGTGAATTTAATTTTTTTTAAGTGCTATTGAATAACTTATTTTTGATCTTCTGAAGACATAGTTCCATGTTCTCACTGCATTAAGTGAATTCCTTGACTAAGAGAGATTTGGTTTTGGTAACCAAATTTTAAAATTTGTTTCCCATGCGTATAGTGTTTACTGCATGGGAGCTAATGTCTTCGTAAATTTCTTTAGCCAAAAACGCTCGTTTCCATCTGAATTTATAATTCAAATTGTACGACTTAAGGTGGAGATTCCAGAATTTAAGAAAACTGGTCCAGAAAACACTCATCCCCATAGTACAGCCCACACAGTTTTCAACAGTGTTTCTGTATTGCTCCACCCTCTTCGCAATTGCTACTTAGATCGACATCTAAGACATTTTTTCTTTACATTTCCCCAACTTTTCAGTCTCCTAACAATATAATTTATTTATGACTGTAAGAATATTATAGAAGAGTAAAACAGGGTTCTGCAAGCAAATTGTCATTGAAAAATTTGGAGCCGTTCTTGAGAAAATGTCGTTCGAGCGTTTCGGAAAAAGGGGAAAATTTAAGCTTATTTTCGTAAAAACTGTTTCAGAAACCTTTTTCAGAAACTTTATCAGAAATCATTTGAAGCGTGTGTAGTCACAAATGCAATAATGTCTACAAAACGACCAAATATTAACAATGTGTTTTTTTTATACACGTGATATTTTGAAAAATAAACAGGATAAATCAAAATGATGTTAATGTCATGTTATTGATTCCCTTCAGCTCTATCAGTATCAAAATGTTAAAGAAAATATGAGAGCCGATTTTGAGAATTTTTGCTTTCTTTTAAAATTGCCCATAATGCAAAGAAACTTACGAAAAAAAAAAAAAAAAATCCAAAAATTGAACATGGCCTCATCTAAAAGATCTGCTGCCACTTTTTAAGACCACATTTCATTTAGAAGAGAAATCTTTATCTTCAATATTGTTTTTTGTAGGAAGATGCCAAAAGACATTTAAACTTTTATAATTTACAAACCTTAAGTGAAATCACACTTGCATCATTTTTATTCAACAACTTTGCTCTATATACCTCCTTATATTATTCCTTAGTCTTATAAAAACTACAAATGTCATGCTGCCCAATTGCAGTAGTGTAAGTGATCAAGTGTAAGGTTGTTTTTTGTTTGTAGGCAGCAAGAGGTGGGCAACAAGGTGGACATAGAGTAAGTTTCCCATACTTTATGGCCTTCATTTCTCTTCTCAACAACATGGAACTTATCAAAAGAATTTATCTCAATGCAACTGTTGGACATCGGAATGTGGAAGTTACTAAAGGTACTGAATAAAAATATGTTTTGTCAATGATATTTTTACTTGATAGAATATACAAATTGTTTTTATCAGGATGTGGTTCGAAGGTTTGCGGTGAAAACAGGAAATTAAATTGAGAATTAAATTATAACTTCAATAAACAATAATAACTCAATAGTGATACAATAGATTTATTATAATTATATTTCAAATTTTGAAAGTAATGCTTGCTGCATATTAGTTGATAAAATTGTCAATAGTGATTGCAGCCACAGTTGCCTTTTTCCTTATAGCAAAGACACATATTATTCTGCTCGAGAGTTGTAACTTTTCTCAATCTAATTTTTATAAAACTTGTTTTTGAAATAGTTTGATGAGGGGTACATCTTGTAACTCCTTAAACCTTAGTCATTAGAGATTTGTGAAATTTGTGTACATGTATATATGATAACAAAAAGACAATCTTCTAAAAGATAAATTCATTCTTGCAAACACATAGCTATTGTGACAATGTACAGAGAGATTGAGATGTTCATAGTCCTTGAAAGTTTTGAAATGAATCTGTTAATTCTATATGCCATTTTAATTAAGAATTAAAAATATTTGTGGAAATAAATAGTTTTATGACATGAACTTAAAACCCTTCAAAAAATTATCGCGGAAGGGGTGTAAGCTCATTGGGTTTTCTGAGTAACGTCCAATATTAGTCCTTCCTTATATGAAAATGTGATGTGCAATATTAGTCATTCAAACATTACAATTGTTAGTTATATTCAATTATAACATTTTGCAATTGATTCGTGCTGCTTGTGGCTTCTTCTTTACTAGTAGTTACATGGTTTTGTTGGTTAAAAAATAATTATTTCTCTCGACTGGGAATGAAGTGCAGGATTTTAGATCAGTACATTCAGCATGAGTTGACATGTTCCATAAAAAACTTGTATTGATACTAACCTCCCCACTCCAATTTCTGAAATGAAAGCCAAAAAATGTTTATACTTTTTACTAGAAAAAGTAAGAAACCAACTCTGAGTTGGCTGCTTAAAGTAATTAGCAACTCTGAGTTGGCTGAAAAAACTTAGTATTCATGTGTCCTTAATACCTTACAGAAAACACAAAAAAAAAAAAAAAAAAAAAAAAAAAAAAAAAAAAAAAAAAAAAAAAAAAAAAAAAAAAAAAAGTTTTTTTTATAATGTAATGCACTCCACAATAGAATTTGTACACTTTGTTCCTACAAAAAATGTTATTGATTATTTGTGGTAAAGAATCCTTCTATTTATAGTTGAAATGCCTAAAGAAAAGGATTCTGGATGTGATTAATATGTTCTCTTATTTTTAAATAATCCTTAAAGTAGTGTAATTAACATTGTTTAAAATTATATCATTTTAAATTGGTTTCCCAGGCTATACGTAGTTTCCCACTTGCTTGTAATACTTGTCTTTCAACTTTCTTTACAGAACAGTTTCTACAATCTGCTCAAATGATGTCTCAAATCACTCCTCTTGAAGTGGACATTCTTTTTCTACTTTGTGACCTTCTTCATCAAACTGGGTAAGTTACTTTCTCTTTGCCTTTTTGCAAATTGTAATCATTCTTCAATGTGTCTTGCTTTAACATGTTTGCGTACAATAAATGTGGCCATTGAAATCTGGGGAAAAGACGCATTCTGTGTGAAATTGCAGTTTTCAGCCCAGGAAGTATGTATTAATTGTGCTTGCATTACAATTTTTTTATCTTGCGATTTGAAATTATTTTTTTATTTTTTGTAAAGAAAAATTCATGCTAAAATTGGTTGTCTCAACAACTGGTAAATATACCGAAAGGTTAAATTTTTCTGCTTCATTATTTTATTTAATTGAACTTTTGTAAAGTAACATGTCTTTCATAACAAAACTAACGAAGTTCGATCCCTTTTCTTTCTTGCTTGCCCCTTGGATATCAGTTTTTTACGGATGAAGACAGGGGAAGAGCATCAACAGTGGTTGGGGTGATTATATCTCTCTTTCTCTCTTCATTTCTCTTTCTCCCCCTTCTGCTTTTGTTGTATTATCGCGCTGCTGTATTGAAACCTATTTGAACATGAATTTTGCTTCTTTAATTATAAGAGTTGTTTTGTTCATTTATTTTTATTCTTGAATGTGTTGACCAGTACCTATGGTGAGTTAATAAAAGTTACTGATATATATACTCTATTCCCTTATAGGAAGATTGTTTATAATGACTTGCAGTCAATTACTCCTGAACAGTACTTCAAAAATATTACTCAAATGCTCAAAATCAAGGCTGTTTCTGTAAGTATTATAATTTTTTTTAAAGTTACTTTTAGTTTGTATAGATTATAGATCAATGTGGAAATCTCAAACATTGGAAGAGGGTGAGTAGCACTGCAATGTAAAAGACGTGCTTGTATTTAGAAACTTGCTTTCATTTCTCAGGATAGTTCTGAAGATAAGAGCCGAGCCTAGTTAACATTTATGTCTTTTCACAAATTACAGGACTTGATCTGTTTCTGAATAAAATTAATTTAAATGTTGCGCAGTGCTAATGAAGATTTTTTTTAATTTTTAGAGTCCTGAGGAAAGAGGTGTGCTTATACAGGTGCTAGAAAGTGCTTATAGATTCACCCTTGGCTCAATTGGTGGTGGTAAGTAGCATGTAATTAGAGAACTGAAAAATTCTGTATTTAATTTCCACCAATTTTGTAGTTAGTTTCCATCAATTGCTTTAGAACCTTTTAGCTAAGATCAAAGTACCAAAGTTCTTTCTGTTCTCTGATCATTTGCACTTTCGTAAAGTTTTGATACAGTTGTTCATAAAATTTCTGTGTAATATCATTATCCCACAGTTATTTAGTGAAATTATCTTCGAGAAATTGTAACATGAAAATTGTTTCATAAAGGATGGTATTCATTATATAGAAATTATGTCAAAGCTAATGTTATAAAGATATATGAAACAATTTTTTTTGGAATGGTAGAGTAATAAGGTACAGAGCTTTTATTCAATTCCTTCAATATTTTCCTTTTGGTTTTGAAGACATGCATAGTTTCTCCCTATTCACAGATTTGACATGTTAAAAACCTAATGGATTGTTGTGGTATGGAATCTAATTTTTAAAAACATTATTGCTCTATATACTATTTACGACCATTTGTATAAGTGCGGTTGGAATGGTGAACAATTAATTTTATCTATCATTTGACATAAGCATTGTGTTTGCAATTCAGCTGTTGGAGCTACTGCTGTATATCCAATTGATTTGGTGAAGACTCGAATGCAGAACCAAAGGACAGGCTCAATTGTGGGTGAGCTCATGTACCGTAATAGCTGGGATTGCTGCAAGAAAGTCATTCGTCATGAAGGATTTTTTGGCTTGTACAGAGGATTAGTGCCTCAACTCATGGGAGTTGCTCCAGAGAAGGCTATTAAGTTGACGGTAAGAACCAACATGCTCCATTTCATGACATGCAATTCATATCTTTTATGTTACACGTTCACAAAATATACTTAGAGGAAAGCATTGCCATTTACATGCACTGCCTAAAATAAGGAGGAGGGATCGCCTTATATGTTTCTAGGCACTTTCATTTAATTTTAACTTGAATAATTATTACTATTGATAAATATGAATGGTTATATGTTGAATTATTCTTGGGGTTCTCAGACAAGGAAAGCGTCTTCCCTAAATATTGTGCAGTAAAACTTGCTCAATGCGGAACCTCAAGGGACCAGTATTTTGTTCAGTATTAGACAAGATTCCACTTTATACAATGTAATATAGAAGAACTTATGTTTAGCAGACCACGATTCATGTTCACATTAGGTAGAATTTCGCATTATGCTCATTCCGCATTGAACAACTTTTACTGTATAACGAATTTCTTTACTTACTGTGTGTGGAAAGTTAATTTAAAATATTGTAATTAATTATTCTGTATTTTTTATAATTTTTAAAGTGTTACTTACAATAACAAACTGGCTGTGATCTTATTTTTCTTTGCTTTTCGTGCATTTTCAAAACCTTTTAGGAGCATTTTATTGATCATTTTTGGTGATTATTTTAGGTCATCAAAATCTACCCCCTAGTTATAAGAGATGACTATAACAGTATCATATATATAGTATCATTATTTTCTGCTCAACAGCATATTTTCTCAATGTTTTTCTGTTCTGTTAGTTGTTTCATTTTTTATTTGAGTTGTTTTAATATGTGATCTGATTTCTTCTGTCATCTAGTGTTCATTCTATTTCCATCCCCATCGCAGTTGAACGTTTCTACCATTGAATTTCTTTTGTTTTGTACAATGTCCCAATTAGTTACTTTTTTTGTTTGAAATTGATTCAAGTATTTTCTGTTTTTCACCTATACTTCAAGTGGAAGAGGAGTGAATTCTATCTATAGAGTAAATTGATTTAATTTTATTGTGGGAAATATGTGATTTGACTTGGAAATTCTGCTGACAAAGTAATAACTCCTCTCACATTAAACAAAATTAAAACTCAAGAAAATGTGCTTACTCAAGATAATGATGTTTCTCCAAGTCCATGTTTTCAAACTTTGTCACATCCTTTCCAGATTGTTTTGTAATATCTTTGAGTATTGTAAATAAATCCCTAAATAATAGTACTTTTATTTCGAAGTGAATCAAAATATAATTTAATTGTTGTTAGAGTAGTAATTAATGCAGTGCTTGTGCAAGTAACTTTAATTAGTAGTATAATTTTACAGTCCAAAAATGAGGATTTCTTGGTTGTGCCACAAAAGTATGAATTTTGATTAGTAATACATCAAAAGTTAGGAAACTAGAATACTTCTGAAGATGTGTTACCCTCATATTGTGTTTATTTTGTAGAAAATAATTGAGGAAATTTGTTGAGTAATGCATGCATATTTTAATGCACTACTCTGATCAACATTGTATTCTTGCTTCCAGATGAATGACCTTGTTCGTGATAAATTTATGGACAAAAATGGAAACCTTCCTCTCTATGGAGAAATCATTGCTGGTGCTTGTGTATGTAGAATTGAACTTAATGAAATTCCAATTGTTTGCTTACATTTTTTCTCAGACTTTTCTGTATTACTTTTTTTAAACACGTTTTTAGGCTGGAGGTTCACAAGTGGTTTTCACTAATCCTTTGGAAATTGTTAAAATCCGTCTACAAGTAGCTGGAGAAATTGCTAGTGGAGCAAAAATTGGAGCTTTATCAGTGGTGAAGGAACTAGGCCTTTTTGGATTGTATAAGGTATGAAACTTTAACTAGTGGTGTAATGTTCGGTCCCACAAGTCCCGCAATGTGAGTGGGCCAGGTTAAAAAAGGGCAGTTTTGTAGGGTATATTTACTGTCCAAATCCCACGATCTAAATTTCCTACAAAATATTTTCAAATTCACAAATGAAATAAACAGATAATATCTTAAGGTGAATTGAAATTGAATTGAATTTAAATAGATTACTTGAAATAGAAACTGCTCTTGGAGAATTCATATAAAATTTATTGAATGTTCCAAACTGTTCAAATATTGATAAAAGGTTTTGTTAAGAGCATTTTTTAAATGGGACGGCGGCATAGAATTTTAAAAATCCTGAGGAAAGAGTAATTCACGATTGTAAGATATAGACTTGAATTTATTAATAATTTGTAGAAGAAATAAGGAAAGTTAATTTGAGAAATTAGAACAGGGGAAACAATATTTGGGGGCAATAAAAACTAGGAAAGATATCTTGGAAAGGGGTTTCTTTTAGGCAATTATTTCTTTAAAAAATATAGTAGTGGAATTGCAACATAATAAGAAAAGAGAAAATTTGTTTTTATTTTCAATTAATTTTAAAGTAGAGAAAAAATTGAAAATTTTAAAAGATAAGATGAGAAGGAACCAAGGGAGAAGAGAGCATTAGTGGGATTAGTGAGTAAAACTACTTTTCTATCAGTGATACTAAGATGTCAATTATTACATGAAACATATAGGAATGCTGAATTTTACTGTAAACATAATTGTAATTTATAAGGAAGCAATTAAAATTAAATTGCATTACATTTTAAAAAACACTCTTGTTCTTCTGCAAAGTGAGGAAGAATTAAATAAAATATTGCTTTGTGCTAGTGTTCCAAAAGAAAGATATTTTAGAGATGTAAAGATTTTAGCATTAGAATTGAAAACGCATTCATTTATTGATGAATAATTAATTAATTCACTACTGTGAATATTGATGAATGCATATTATACAAATAAAATAATACCTAATTTAACCTATATTAAATTTCTATTCTAATTTTCCCAAAATTATCATTTCAGACTATACTCAATAGAAGTTTCTTAACCCCTTTTGTAGTTTATAGCACCATAGAAACATTGAATCAAAGCTTCCATCTTTGATACAATATTTCACAAGGAACTTGTCATCTCATAAAACACTGAAATATTTTTAATTTGTCTCTTTGATAAACGAAAGAACAGTAACATAACAACATGTAAACTTATTGGTATGAAAAATTTGTTTGCAGGGTGCAAAGGCCTGTTTCCTTCGTGATATTCCTTTTAGTGCAATTTATTTTCCTGCATATGCTCATACAAAAGTGAAGTTCGCTGATGAGAATGGTTACAATCATCCATTATCACTTCTTGTGGCGGGTGCTATAGCTGGTGTTCCTGCTGCATCTTTGGTAACCCCTGCTGATGTGATAAAGACAAGACTGCAGGTTAGTGAGCATTTTCATGTTTATATGTATATTTCTGCTATATTTGACAATACATTTAACAAATAAGTAGCTCTCAGGTGATATGAGGGGTTGATGTGGATGTCTAAATCAATTTTTTTTTTTTGCACAGTCACAATTGAAAAGGAGAGAATATTATTTAACATTTTGGAGTTAAGAGAATTCTGTATTTTAATTTTTAAGTAAATATGTTGATTTAATGTGGAAGATGTTTCGTTATCTCTTAATCGTGTTTGTTTCGTTTTGTCAATAATCATAATCATAATCTTTATTCAAAACTAGTGTAAAATAAAACATGTCAGTTTGATACCAGTTTGTTGTGAAATTGTTACTATCTATTAAATGCCTTCTGTTCTGTCAAGGTTGTTGCCCGACAAGGTCAGACTACATATAATGGAGTCATAGATGCAGCTCGTAAAATTTACAAAGAAGAAGGACCACGTGCCTTCTGGAAAGGAGCAACAGGTGGGATATAAAAATAAATAAGATATATTGTAGTAAAAACATGTTGATAAGATCATGTACTAGAGGACTAAGCAAGAATTCAAAGTGTTTGGGAGTTATACTCTGATTTAAACATATTGGTACTTCACATCACAAGCTGGAAGGAGAGGGGGATTTTGTCATCCAATAGGGAGCTCTATTACCAAAAGTTTTTCATAATGAAGCTCTTGATTGGATATCAGTGTTCTCTCTCCATCTAGCTCATGATCTTGAAGTGCCACAATCAGAGTATACTACTGAATTTCAGTCATGTTTTATAATGTAAATTCTAATATAAAATAATGATTCCTTCATCATTGAAAACAGACATAAAACATAGAAATTAAATTGAAGATAAATTGATTTCATTTTGGGGGAATCAAATAAGTTTTGTTTTTAAAATTTTCGTAGTTGATTTCAGCAAGTCAGAATAAAAAGAATCAGGAAAGTAGCTAAACATTTCGTCTGCTTGGTTTTCAGACCATTTCAGTGCTACAAAAAAAGTGTAATAATTTATGTAGTATGAAATAAAAGACACAAAAAGCATGAAATAAATATCACGGGGTACTCATTTCATTGTCCAGTGTGCAAAATGTTGGTTACTCTGTGCATGACATTTCTGTTTGGGAATTTCAATGAGCTTGCCATGAAAAATGCTAAGGTCTGTTGAAGTATTTTTGGAATCTTTTTCAGAAGTTTTTGTTATATCAATACAATATATTAACATAATTCAAGAGTACACAACATTTTTACGTAAAGTGAAGTTAGTGTCAAGAAAAAAACAGTAATATTTTGAAGTGTGTGTGCATGCTTAATGTTTACAAATTAAGATTAGGTAAAGGCATTTATTTTATGGTAATCTGGAAGCATGTTGAATTGTGCAATGGAACTTTGTAATAATCAAACCAAGAGAGGAAGGTATTCATTTCTGCTAGATCCCATTCTTAGAAGAAAATGGATACATGCTGATAAGCCTACTGATTCAAACGTACAGAATGCAATATCCATTTTTGGAATGATGGTTTTGTGCAAGATTTACGATCTGAACTTTCAAATTTCCCCTTAAAAATTCGTCTCAAGCATGGTATTGTACCAAGTTAATATTTTCAATATTTCAGATAACCATTGCACTTCCCAAACAATAGAAGAAGCTTCTCCAGAGAAATATGATCTCCTTTATCTCCTTTAAATCCACAGTAGTTAAGTTACATGTTAGGACAAGAATGTTCATTAGGATAGCATAAAAATGGAGAAGTCAAAGCAATATCTGTTTAACTTCACAAGCAAAAGGCAAAAAATTACAGACTTAGTCATCTCCTTCAAAACAAAGTTAAGGTAGTACATGGTTATTGTATAGTCTTCACAGTTTGAAAACAAAATGCACTGCAGAGAAGAATTGTATGTATGGGACTGTTATGAATCTGTTTAAAAAAACAAGTAATGATTACAGATATTGTCATTTATTCTGAATAAATGTTAACAATGGTTCTCCTGTGTATTAAAAGTTTTGGCATCGTGTTAGAACTATTGACATTGTCTTTGATGGCAAGGAAGTCATGGGATGGGTCTAGGATGGTTCTTCCATTTCTTTTTATATTTTTTTAGTTTGTCCAAAATGGAATTTTTTTATATTTTAAATATTCATTTCATGTGTTTTTTTCTATACTACATATTATTATTATTATTATTATTATTATTATTATTATTATTATTATTATTATTAATTACTATAGTTATTTTTATTATTATTTATCATAGTTATTAATTTTTTTGTAGCACTGAGTTGATCAGAAAAACAAGCTGCTGAAACATTTGTGACTTTGCTGTATTTGTTTTCATTTTCATCTATTACGTACTTGCGTAGTAAAGAGAGATTATTGTGATGCTTCACTAGAATTTGGGGATTTTTCGACAGAGAAACAACTATTGGAGCCCTATTAATAAAAACATGGATAAATCTTGCACTTGAAGGTAGTAATGTACTTCTTTCAACATGTGTAGTCAGAATCCACGTTTTTATAGGTCCTTGGTATCAAAAAATTAATTTATTAGAAAATGTTCATCTGTCTGTCCGTCTGTCTGTGGTCAAGACTAGTACCTTAACTGTTCAGCTGATTTTCTCCAAAATTGGCATTCCCTAATCAAACAAGCCGAACTCAAGACCCTGTGATTTTTAAACTGATATTTTAATTTTAAGAGGTACTTTCCATGAAGCCTCAACATTATCAAAATTGTGTCAGATTTTTGATTAATTTTCTTTTCTCTATTGGGAAAGAGTAGGCCGTAAGAAATGGTTCAGATCTCTTGCTTTGTTGGACTCTCTAAATTTATGAAAATTGCCAGAGTGTAAAAATGTTTGGGCACCTTCCGACACATACAATATTGGAGATAGAAATTGTTTTTCTTCACAAAATCTATTTTTCAATGATAGATCATGAAATAAGCTCAAGTACATTTTTCAAAAATTGTAGTTTTCATGTAATTTTTGTTTTTAAGTAGAGGCAATTTAAAGAATATTTTAAAGGTTTTTTTTTCAAAAATTAGCTCTCTTCAATAGAACAAGGAATGCTTACTAAAATTATATTAATAAAAATGGTGCATGACCCGTTTTCATTGAAGTTGATGATAGTGGAAATCATATTTCAGTTCTCTTGAAATTATTCTATTAAAATTCCTTAGAAATCTGCTATAGGATTTTGAGTACTATATCTGTGATAAGGGATTCTTCTGTTCATTGAATTTTTTCATGAGCGTGAATTTGGAGAAATTATATTATTTCATTTTGTCCATTCCCCACTATTTTATAGATTTCGAATATTATAGGGCAGGAAGAAATTTATAAAATAAAAAATATTTCTGATGATCATTCATCATGGTTCTTTCTTTCTTTGATAAACAGAAAACTTGTAACTGATTAGCTCAGGAGGCATATAGATATTTTGTGATTACCAAATATATTACGTTCGTGAAGTAACTACAGATCACAATATTTTTTAACCAAGTATTTTGCTGTATGAATCAGATGTAAATAGTGAATTTTAAAATTTAAAAACTATATTAATACCATAATCTTTACAAAATAGTATTAAATGCTGCTCTGTATAGTTATTTGAAATTTATTCTTGTTAGTAAAAAGTATAATAAATTCAAAATAAGCCAAAATAGTCATTAGGTACAAATTATGAAATTTTTTTTTTTTATTTTTACATTTAAAATACAGAATTATATCATAATAATCATATTATTTGGTAATATTCAACTAAAATATTAAACAAGTATGTATTTGTTTGTTTATTATTTCATAGTAAATAAATAAATTTATAATTGTTTATGTATTTTTGAATTAAAGGAATAATTGGATTAATATAGATTGAAATATTTCTAATTTCAGAAGTAATAAGTAGGTGATTTTCATTATGAAGAGTTCTTTAAATACTTCACTACGTAGATTTTGAATATATTTTTTGTTGCATAAAGATATATTTAATTTCTTTTCAATCTTTGTGTATAAATGGCGTGACGGAATTTCATTGCAGGAAATTGGGTGAATTTGCAGATTATTTGAATTCCAACTATATTTTGTTTCTGCTGATAATTAACTGGTTAGTTATTTACAAATAAAGAGTAGTTTTGATATCAAAATATATGTTTTATTCTAATGTTTTTATGTTAGTTATTTACAAGTAAAGAGTAGTTTTGCCATCAAAATATGTGTTTCATTCTAACTTTTATAAATGTAAGAGATCATTATCAATTTTTTTTCTTTCTCATTAAACATTTGAGGTTACATACTAACAATGCTCTATTCTAAGAACAGAATGCTTCTCCCTATTAGTGTCACATATTGTTTGTCAAATATATTGTAGAACAAGATACACAATCAACAGATGAAACTTTGCTGCTTTGTGCTCAAGGGAACATTTAACATAATGTAGCTTTGGCTTACTAATATCTCACAAAATGTATGGTTTGTTAAGTTTTGTAGTCAATTTTCTACTAAATTTTATTACAGATGACAAAAATTGTGTTGCAGTTTCAGTAAAATTTGCGTTGGTAGTAAAGTGTGTGCAAGGGCGGATCGAAAACCTATATAAGTTATATATACCTTTCTACCTTTAAAAATTTAATTAATGTAGTATTTATTAGGTCTACATTTTGATATTAATTTTAAAATATCAAATCAAAAAGTATTGATTGAATGAATTATCTTCTCTCTTACACTTAGTCCACACTTCTCATTGTGGCCTTATTCTTTTCTCATTTTCATGCTTGTAACTATGTTGTTTCTCTACTTAACACTTCATAGAAGAGAAGTATTTTGTTTATTTCTCAGTAGGGTGGTAATTTAATAGATATTGATTTTGGAGGGTGGGTTATGAGGGTTATCATTGTGCTGACGATTATATATTAATGCAGTACTTCTTTCTCTATGATGGTTTGGGCCTTGGCCCATTCTGGCTGTGTTTAACTGGTTTGATCCGCCCTTGTCCGTAAGTACTGTGTTGAGAATTTGTTTGTGAAAAATGTAAAAATTTTAGTTTGCTTACCCTTCTTGTTTTAGACAGCAGATCTTTAGTTCTCTTTCTGGTTATTAACAGTTTTGTTTTGTTCACCTTCTTGGTTCTTCTTGTGCATGAGTTGCAGAGAGATACACATCTAGGAAAGAGAGAAATGTAATATTCAGGTTTTATTTTGACAATAATTGTTCCACCCATGATCTTATCCATTAATAAACCATATTAATATAATATCTTTTGCAGCAAGAAATAATTAATATAATGCACTTTTGTTTGCTTTGCAATTCAGAACTTTTAATCTATAAATAATACTATGTCAAAAATCAAAAATTTGAATTGGAGGAACGTACTAGAAAATGCTTTAGCAGTATTAATATTGATCGTATCACATCTTGTGTGTTTTCTTGTGGGTAGCAAAGTTTTATTTAGTAGTAGCACAATAGTAGCAATTAGAATTTTATATTTTTGTGACTTAACTAATGTATTAAAATTGATTGTTCTTTCATCTTGACACTACTTGTATACCTCTTGTCTTCTCTATTTCCACTTCCTTTATTTTCTCCTTTTCCTTACTTTATTTAAGACACAAAATTGAAATTTCAATACATTTCAATGCAAACAGAATTTCCTATTAATTTGCTTGTGAAAATTTTTGCTTTCTTATAACTGTTCAGTTTTCCCCAGCTGCAACATTTTTTCTTGTAAGAATATTTTCTTATAATTTTGTAAGTAGTATCTTCTGTAAATATAAAGCCTTTTCTACCTTTTGTTTAGATATTTATATGAGGTAAATATTACAGCAATCTGTAAAAGTGTTGATAGTTCAGTAAAGATCTTGTGAATATCAAATTTCCGTGACTATTTTCTAGTTACAGAATAGTGTTTTTGCCATGAAAATTTTTGTGAAATGCCATACTGCGAGAGCAAGAGTAATAAAAATGTTTGAAATGTACATCCATACATACTAGATTAATTTTCTTCTTCAGTGTTCTACTTTAACTTGTGAATACTTCTAATTCAATTAATTTAATGATGTTGTCAATGGCATTAGTAATTTAGCAAAAATAAGTAAAATGAAATACTTTTTTCTTTTGTTTTTACTTTGGCCATGTGATTTACTTTGCAACAAAAAAAAAAAAAAAGTAACTGGAACATCCACGCTATGAGTCGAATTGTTTCGGATCTCATAATAGCTTGTGATCATCCAGGTACTATGCAGACATGAAATAATAAACTTGTAGCATGCATGCTTTTGTTTTGTTTGTTTTGGAACAAAATAAGATTACAACGTCAAAGAGCAGTAAACCATTTTTATGCAAATACTTTTTTATGATATATGATAAGAATCATGATTAAAGTGTCCGGAGGTAAAATTACTCAGTTCATCATTTCATTGTCATTTTGGTAACTACTTCTAAAATAGTTTGGTAATGAATAAGATTTTGTGATATTTCAGAGAGTTATTATAATATTGTAATTGGTCAATCAAAGGATTTGTTTTATTGGATTTTCCTTTCTCACCACTGCTTGTGCAGTATAATGAAAGTTTTGTAATGCTGTGGGGGGAAGAAAGCGAATTTTCGACAGAAAAACTCTTCTTGCTGGCCCTGCTACCAAAAAAGTGAAAAAATCTTGACCCTGTATAGAGTAAATTACTTCCTCTAACACGTGTAATCCGAATCGATGTTTTGTGATCCTTCATTCTGGAAAACGGATTGACAGCTTTCCCCAGAAGATCATTCATATCATGAATATTAATACCTGCAGGATTTTCACCAAGGTGGTATTCCCGAATCAATCAATTTGGCTGATGTCGCAGCCCCTTGAATTTGAAATTGATATTTTAATTTTGGGGAGAACTTAACGTGAACCCCTTGGGTCATTTAAAAAATGGCACCAAATTTTTCGATTAAATTTTGACCTCTGATATCATAAAGGCCGCTTATAAGAATAGTGCCATTCTCATGGCCGTTAAAATTACTCGTTTTTAAAAAATTGAAAATATTTTGAAATTAATTAATATGAATTTTTTTTTTTTGTTCTCATTCAATTACAATTGTGAAGATAAAATGTTTTTCTTAATGAAATGTGTTCATCAAAAACAGATCTGTCAATAAGTTCATGCTCAGGTTTTGAAAATGTGAATATTTTTGCTTAATTTTGCATCAAACATCGGCAATTTTTAAATTAAAAAAAAATATTTTGTCAATAATTGATCCAATTTTTTTTCTTTAGATTTTCTCCTTGTATGTATCAAAAAACTAAAGTTTAGTGGGGATGGTCCCATTTTGGTGCAACGTTTGAATTTTCAAAAATTGCCCCACCACTACCACCAATTGAAATTGTAAATTTGAATTTCGCATACTTATTTTTGCCCTGTTTCAGTTTGCAAAATGACAGCATTGGTTTCAAAATTCTTTAAATTAATTCCGCTGTTGTCGGTCGTAAATGCAAAATGTAGATAATATTCTTGGTAAAGGAAACAGATTGTAAGAAGATAATAAAATTTAACTTAGAACTAACAAACACACTTCTTTACTTAAAAAAAGTTGTGATCGCTGATAATGGTGCTCAAAAAAATTGAAAGCTCACTTTAACATAATGAAGGCAGGTTGATGCAGGAAATTATTCTTGCTTTCCTGTATTACATTCTGCAAATACTGTAACAGTTAAATTTATCAATGTTTGTTTCATTTGTAAAAGTAAGAAATGATTGCTGTTCCATACAATGAAAATAAATGCAATTATGCACAAGACGCACTTCATTTGAATTTGTTGAATTAGACTAACAACAGAGGTGCAGGTGCTAGTAGGACAGAAATTTCAGTATTTCAATATGATGTGAGATAACTGCAAAATTATATTTTAACTGCGCAAGTAGTTTCAAACAATGAGGAGGAAAAAAATAAAGCAAAACATGGAGATGATGTGTACGCATGTTGATATTTTCAATAATTAAATGATGATTAAGTTTTCTTTTTTTAATTAATGGGCAATTTTACTTCAGTTTTTCAAATTTATCAACTGTCCTTGAAAAACGTTTTAGATAACCTTAGTATTCTCATCATCTTGATAATTAATGTGTTTCGTTTAATTTTCCTTCCTAATCATTCAATTTTCCATTTGATTGTTATCATAATAATAATTTTTCAATTTCTTGGTTTACAGCTCGAGTTTTCAGATCATCTCCTCAGTTTGGTGTCACCCTCCTTACCTATGAAGTACTTCAAAGACTGTTTTATGTGGACTTTGGTGGATCGTAAGTATTTTTGTTTTCTACATTATGTTAATGTCACTTTCATTTTTTCTTTTATCAACAATCCCGAGTGCTTTCTCTAGATTTGTTTGTGAACTTGACTTTTTATTGTGGTTTTACTCCTTAGTTAATTCACTGTGGGAATTAATTAATGATTAATTTTTACTGCGTGCTAGATCAACAGAATGGCTATGGTGAGTTGTTTTCTAAACCCTTCCTCCCTCTTCCCCAGAATGTTGTAAAACTAAAGTTTGGAGGGTTAAATTTAATGCAGTCGGTGCTACAAGGCAAAGAATACAAGATTTCTATATAAGTTTCGGAAATTTTTCACTTGTAAGTGAATATATGAAAAATAACATTTTCATTGAAGTAGCACGATTACATTTCGCATTGTGACTGTTTGACTTTCCTGCTCCATGAAAGTTTACATTGTATCTTCTAATGTCATTGTCAGTATTTTTTATCTTGTGAATTGTTATTTATTAGTTGTTATCCACTGATTGCCATTTCTTCTTCTCTTTTAAAAAAATGTTTACTATATTTTAACATTAAACTATCAAACCTTGTGTTTTTATGTAATAGTAGTAGTAATGATTTAAAATATCTTTATCAATTAGTTAAAAAATGAGTAATACTCTCTACCTCATTTTTCTTATTGGCATACTTGTAATATTTTAAATGTTGTTAACTTTCATGTGTGTTCACATGTCATGTGATTTTTTTGTTTTATTTTTTTTTATTAATTGGTAAAAAACATAATTTTGCAATTACTTTATTTGTTTCTCTTGCATGCTGAAAGAGAGTGAGAAAATTCAGACCTGTTTATTTGGTAATTTATTCTTGGAGTAATTATTGTATATATTGTAATTTATAGATGTGGTAATTTATTCTTATTTGCATTTGTGTGTCTGCTATGATCCTAACAAATAACCAAATAATTGAATAATCATACTGTAATGGTATTGATTCTTGTGAAGAATGTAAACCTGTACTACGTAAAATACAAGTTAAGGAGACACACAGGATTTATGCGTTAAATTGCATTTTTTTTTAAATTATTTAAAATACATGCTAAACAGTTAATGTAGATTACAGATGCTGTTGGTAAGCTATGCTATAGCTGCATAGCACAACAGTTGTGGAAATTCAAGATTATAATATACATACTCCCTATCTTCTGAAAAAAAAAGTAGAATGTTGCAAAGATTGATTACATATTTTCATTTTAAAAAATTGATTGTACTACAAAGCAAGAATTATATTCTGTTTGTTTGAATTACTATTCTTTGACTTGCAGACGACCAGCTGGGTCTGAACAGCATCTACCTGCCACTGGAGTTGCAGACGAGATGAAATCTACAAATCCTGACCACATCGGTGGATACCAAGTTGCAAGACCAATATTTGCTGGAATAGAATCAAAATTTGGTCTATGCTTACCAAAGTTCCGTGTAGCGAGTTCGTAATGAGGTACCGTGCTGTTCGTGTTATTTATGAATTTTACTGATATTGAAGGAGTGTTCATTTGGCAGTGGAGCAATTGAAATGGTAGGGTTGAACTTCACATGGTTATTGTTGCAGTGTGCAATAATAACAAGTGTTAAAAAGATTAATTGTGAAGAAAACAGTGTTGGTGGTTTTGAAACGTGTACATATAGTTTAGAGACTTTCAGGCAACACTTTCTTGTTGATCATTTTAATGATCATATAAACTTTGAAAAGTACTTCTAATACTGTCTGGCACTGTGATTTGTAATTGTAAAAAGACACCATCTATTCATCTTGTTATTTTCCAAGTAATTATCATAATTATAAATAGGAATGTGAACTTGGGCTGTACATAATACCGTCGGACATACAAAAGCTGCACAAAGCTGTGTTAATGTAAACCCTGAGAGAGGTATGCTCTGTGTTCCAATCGTTGCTAGTAATAATTCACTGTAAATAAGATGTGAAAGATCCAACTGTAGTAAATGTATTGCCTCTTGTATAGAAATAATTTAGAATATAAATTAATTTTTAAACAATTTTTGTCTTTTGCTACTCCCTTGCATACTCCTTATTTTCGAAAGCTAATGTGAGCATATTTTTAATTGCTTATCTCCTTCTGTTTTCATGACCCTTTTGCTCACAATTCCATATGTCAGAGTCTTTATTTTTTTATTTTCTTCCTTAATGGGCATTATACTCCTTTCCCAGAGTCATCAAAGGCACTTTGGGCATTCACTTCAGGGCACCTGCCACCAGTTGTATGTAAAGACCATCTAGGTGATGTTGCTGCCACCTTTTCAACATGTTTCCTATGTAAGTGGCAATGACTCTAACAATGCCTAATTTAACCTATGGGCTCATGTCAGTCAGTTTTGCCTTGGAAACACTTAAGATACTATGACTACTACTGAAGATACATGTGGAAAGGAAAAGGATACCTAGGATAACATTTACTCATAACTTTGATAAAACTGATGGAACTCATACTTTGTCGAATTTATTTGACAACAGCTGTATTTAATTGATACGAATTTATATTATAATATTGCATCTTCTCTCCTATGAATTCTTCAGCCATTTTGTGAACAAAGAGTTCTTCACCATACAAAACATGGAATTTTTGTTCAACTATCTGAACCTTAATTCTTGAACATTCAATGACTTTAATGAAAAAGGTGAAGTCAAGATGAATTAATGAAGGGCACTTCTGCCTGCAAATATCAGTGTATTGATCTCTATTCTTAACCAAAAATTGTGGTTTTTCTATCCACATAGCGAGCTATTATCTTTGATCAATTGGAAAATACTGTTGCGTAACCCCAAATTTAATCAAAATTATACGTTTTTTATACTATTCGCGAGAACTAATTCGGGTTATTATTCTCCTATATGGCGTATCTGCAGGAACTATAATAACTACGATATCAACATAAATTGTATCTCTGTTGGTCAGTTTGTTAATTATACAAAGACACATTACATCTGTGATTACAAATAAAATGTATTTTTATATATTCGTTATTTTCAGTATCAAATTAAAGATATTGTATAAACCTCTAAAATTGAGCAATTGCCTGTTTAGATGCAAATAAATAAGTAAATAAAAATAAATAAATATAAATAAATAAGTAAATAAATAAAAAATTAAATAAATAAATACGTAAATATATACATAAATAAATAAACTTAAGATGCAGAATTATGACAATATAATTCAAAATTATGCGAAAATTCTTATTTTTGGGGGGACTAGGGGAAGGCATTTAAAGATATATTAAAAAAAAAAAAAGGTTGGATTAAAAAAGAAATCTATCTCGCATATTGATGTAGAATAAGTTTGAAAAGACTATGAAATTTATGTTTACATTCAATAAGGAAAATTACATTTTTTCCCCCATAATCCACTTCAAAATATTAATTCTCAACTCCTCTTCAGTCCCACTACTTCCTGGAATTCCATTGGGTTTCATCAGTATTATGAATCAATCATTGCTTTTTTGTGAAATGCTTTGTAAAGAAATAAATTTGCTTTGTGTCTGCTGAAGTAGAATGTGAGATATGGAATTGAAGGATGGAAAAAAGGCAAGAAAGTGTACAAGAGATGGAGAGAGTTGGGTCAAGAATAAAAGACGATCCACAAGAAATAGTAAAGTAGCTCGTCAACCACCAAAATAAAATTCTAAACATAACCATAAATTAACAAATGATGACATCAACCATTTTTTCAGCAAAATACACTGAAATACATTGAACATTGATCAGGGCAACTTTTGTTGCAGTTCATAGAAAATAGGAAAAAACTGCAAACTAAAACCATCCAAGGAGCCAGAATCCAAGAGATCGAGCAGTAATCAAGAACAGTATTAGAAACAAAATTAAATGCAGGTCTCTGTATGTGTGAAAACCTTTCTATCAGTACCCAGAATCACAGTGGAAAGGTTGAAAGGTCTGAGAATGTTCCTGACAACTGGTCAAAGTGTGAAGTGTAAGAAAATGCAAGAAGGTTCATGGATTAAACATGGATGTTCTCTTCACATGGAGCATATCGAATCATACTAAACAGTTCAAAACTGTGGAATCACCATTGAGAACTGCATCTACAGTGCCCAGTGTTAACTGTATCATTAATGAGAAGAGAGATGTAAAGAAACTATTAAAACTTGTTGATCTTAGTGGAGAAGATAGTGCTGTCTATGCAGAAGCTGTCAATTCTATATTTTCAAGAAGTGAATGTCCAATATGGAATGGAAATGATGATGAACCATTTCTTTTTGCAGAAAATTATTTCTTTCCACCTTAGAGCTAGAAATAATAATTCTGACTTACCTGTTTTATTATGTTTTTTTGTAAATTAAGTGTTGTTAGGAAAAAAATACACATTTTGGGTGTCATTTCCTTAATTTTAGTATGTTAATATTCATAGCATAACCTAATGGATATACTTTTCAAAAATTAAAATTAAAGTACAGTATAAATGGGAAAGGTTTTTTTCTTTCTCCTGTAAAAGTAAGAAAAATGACTTAAGTGAGGTTTAGAGTGGAGGTCTTCAATTTATAGGAATCATTTCAAGCAATTTTTAATTTGTAAATGCAAAAGCTCAAACGTAAGGAACGAAAGCTCAAATGTAAGAAACAAACAAAGAAATATGAAACAATGAACAAATTCTAACTTGCAAAGTATCCAATTGCCTGGAATTACGTTGACGAAGCAGTAAATTTGGAGCAGGTGACTATGTTTGTCACCAAAGTTCACAAAAATACTCATATTTATTAAAAATTCAACATTACTTTATTTGAAGATCTGTTTTTGATGAATATATTTCATTAAGGAAAAAAAAATTGTATTTTCACAATTGTAGGTGTAGAAAGAAACCGAAAACATTTTAAATGATTTTTGTTTTTTCCTTTTTAAATTTTTGAAAAATTAGGCATTTTTATGAACATGAGACCTACACCATTCCACCATTCTCTTAAGTATTCTTTATGCTATCTAAGGCCTGATTTTAATTGAAAATGTTTGTGCCATTTGAAAAAAAAAATAGTTTAAATAAAATAACAATTTCCTCAATTTGACACAAAATTTTGCAAAAAGTCTCATGTTTTTTTAAAATTGAACACAACATTGTTTTTAGATCTTTTTTACTTTAACACATTTCATTGAGGAAAAATGTTAATATTCATATCTGTAGTTGTAGAACAACTCTGAAAAAATTTTGATATTTTTCAGTTTTCTTAAAATAGGGTTTTCAACCAATGTGAGAACTTCACCACTCTCTTAAATGCCATTCACACTATCCAATATCAGACTTTAATAAAAAACTATGGAGCCACTTTTGAGTGCACAATTGTTTAAACCAAATCAAAATTTGCCTATATTTCATGCAAAATTACTCAAAAAAAAAAAAAAACTCTTTTCTTCAACATCAAGAATTGGGTCTGAAGGCCTATTCCATCCTCTTTCAACATTGGTATCATCAATCCACCTAGTCTTTGGTCTTCCAACTCTTCTTCTGCCTGCCAATACATAATTTATTATTTGTTTAGGGAGTTTGATGTCATTCATTCTTACAATATGGTTGTATCAATTTTGTTTCTGTTTTTTGACTCTTTCTAAGAGGTTAAAAATATTTAGTTCCTGTCATATATTCACATTTTTCTTATGGTCTAGTGAAGTATAGTTAGCAACACTTGTCACAAACTTTATTTCACTAGTTTGAATTTTATTTTTAATGATGCTTTTAACGTGCAATTTTCATGTCCATAGGTTAGTATTGGGACAGCAAGCGTTTTATAGAATTTTAACCGAGCCTCTTCGAGTTTTATTTCTTAATGTTTTTCTTATTGTTCCACACATTCTCTGGAATCTACTCAGTTTGACATCAAGATTGCTTTCTATTAGATATGACACACTCCAGCCTAAGAAATGAAAGGTTCAAACTTGTTCTAAACTTTTATTATTTAGAACTATTTTGCACCTGGCATGTTCTGATCCTACAAAAGCCATGGTTTTAGATTTGAAAACAGATATTTTAAGATGATATTGCTCCATTACTTTTTGTAATTTGTAAGATGCTATTTGTAAGTCATTTTCAAATTCCGCAACAAGTATTTAATCACTGTAAATAGCATAGTCTTAAAGGGAATGTTACCTATACTTATTTCAGGTGATGATGATGTGTGCCATTGTTCTGGCTTCTTTTGGGATCATATTTTAGAAGTTCCATGCTTATTCCATTCCTTTCTGAGGTTTTATTATTAAGAAACAAAGTTAGGATTCTTTCTGTTTCATTATATTCTACAAGGTCAATATTGTTTATTGGTTCAAAAGTTTGGTAGTCATTCCTTAAAATATCTCGTATAATATAAAATATCGTATTCAATACTGCTTATGTAATTATCTCAGTTTTCTCTTTTTAATTTTCTCACTTTTTTTTTGCTATTGCACATTTGAATTTATAATTTTGTTTGTTATCTTGTGATTTAGTTTGTAAAAATGTTACATAAGCTTCCTTTTTTCCCTTTTATTTTAAATACTCAAATTTTCTAAAAATTATACATGACCATATTTCAGAATCTATCTGTAAAGAAAATTTCATTAAGGGAAAAATTTCTCTGTTCATAATTGTAGTTGTAAGAAAACGCCGAAAAAATGAACTTTTGCAATTTTCGAAAAATTAGGTATTTTAACCAACTTGAGACCTGCATCATTCTTTTACAACGTCCTTCACACTATCCAACAAC